CACCCCGTTGTTTGCAAATTGCATCTATTTCATCAAATATTATAATGTGCAAACCCGACTCATCAGCTTTAGCTTTGTATTCCTTTTCAGCATCTGCAAATAATTTGCGAATATTTTCTTCGGATTGACCCACATATTTATTTAATATTTCAGGTCCGTTGACTATCTTTGGTTCACGAGCATTCAACATTTTTCCGATTTGTCGTGCCATCAACGTTTTACCCGTTCCGGGTGGACCAAACAAAAGAATACCTAATTAAATTAACATAAGAGTTTTCATTATAAAGTGCACGGATTTCTCATTAGTTTGTTATAAATATGAACGAACCTTTTACATGTTGAATGCCAATCTTTTCTACTAAACCGGGAGGGAATATTCGTGAAGCGAATGCTCGCCGGAAGATGGCGCTGAATTCGGTATCCAAACCACCTATTCCCATATCTTCAAATTTGAAGTTGGGTTGAATAATGGCAGTATTCATCCTAAGAGACTTTATCATTAAACTGAAATTTTATAAAATATAAATATAATCAAAATTTACGAATTAAAATTTACCTTGCGGAAGAACCTTTTAATCTTATTGACGAATCAGAAGCCTTTGTCCAATGAATTACAGTTTGTTGCATTAAAATACCACGCTTAGCAGTACGCAGGCCTAGATTTTTTTTAATAAGACAAAACTTTTAAACCATTTATCGTTTAATAGCTATCACTAAACTATTAATTTCATATAATCACCCTGAGAATCGGCATGTTTATCTCCGGTAAATCCTTTCTGTAAATCTTCAGTGTCAACTACATCCAGACCTTTGATAGTAATTTGAAGATTTATTCCGTGAAAATCAAACACCATATACTAAAATAATTATCATAATTTATCAAAGTCAAATGTCTATCTAAATTTAACAAAATGTATTCAAGAATGAAAATACCTGATCAACGCTAAATATTTGATTATTAAAGGCCTATGCTCCAAAAAAAAAGTATAAATTAATTAATTTAATATACTATTATAAAAACAAAGTAGAATATTACCTCGTAAAATATTTTTGACATTTCTTCAGTATCAAAAGATTCTTTGATCTCTATAGTTTTTTTCCTCAAGAAACCAACTTCCAAATCTAATTTTCCTAAATAATAATTGGGACTCTCAAGATTAGGATAATATGGTGCAATAGAAACCTCTTGTCCTATGGAAAGAGAGGCCCAACGTCGATGTGCCATTGAAGTTCCAATTTCATTTTGAGGTTGTTTTTCATATGAACTATAAGAAAGGTTATGCTAATTAATATATTTAAATTAATTCTTGAAAATAAGAGTAAATTTAAAAGATTCATATTCATTACTGCCTTTGTCTTACAAAAAATTTCTCATAAAAATATTAGCAAAAACCAAATGTCATAGCTTTTCGAATGTGTTGAATTTAATTTTTGATCAGGCAGAAACAGGAACGCAAATATATGTAATTAAAAAAGATTTCTATTGCTTAAAACTTTTCGAACGTGTTGAATTTAATTTGATCAGACAGAGACAGGAATGCAAATATATGCAATTAAAAAAGTTTACTATTACTTAAAACTTTTCGAACGTTTTGAATTTAATTTGATCAGACAGAGACAGAAATGCAAATATATGCAATTAAAAAAAAAGATTACTATTGCTTAAAATTTTTATTATAAATACTTTATGGTAAAAACAAATTGATCTTCAACAATAACATAGCGAACAGATTGGATATTGAAATCTTTAGGAGAGACGACTACTAAATTTTTCAGTGCAAGTGCTTCGCTTGGAGATTTGCCAACCTTCACTCGAAACGTTTGAGGAGCTGCAGGAACAGGGAATTGTTTAGCGGGCTGGCGGGGAGAAGACGTAATATTGGGGGGATAAGAATTATAGTCCATTTTTACCTCGTAAAGAAAGTGTTACTCAGCTTATTATATAGCTTTGGATAATAATCACGTGTATATCGTCCAAATTAGCATTACCGTACTTATTCGGTATCTGATACAGTACTAGATACGTACGTGTACAGTAGTAAAACCCCGGGTGGTATTATATTTAATTATCGTTATCGTTATAATATTGAGGAGGATACATAACAGATAATCGAAGCGGAGGGGGTACTAAAATTAATCTTAACGTTAAATATTTATTGAACAAACCCCATTGTACCTAGATATTTTATTTTAACCTTGCATAGTATCCTGATCTTTTTAACTGAAATTACTAAAAAAAGAACCGGTATTATGCTACGTAGCAGTAGGGTAATTACGATACGTTAAGTTGTAGTTACACCACACATTTAACAACTAAAGAAAAAAAAAAAAAAAAAAGTAATTGCTCTCGGTCGGGGAATTGAACCCCGGTCTCCCGCGGGCTGTTCACTGACAGGCGGGGATACTAACCACTATACTAACCGAGATGTTACATTATTTTCGTTTATTTTATATTATTTAAATAACTCTCAAATAACTTCTAACGAATAAAATTTAAAAGCACCCCACAATTATCTTGGAGATGTTTTTTGTAACGATATGCTAAAAATTTATTTATTAAGAAATGCAGATTTTAAAAGTTTAGCAAATTAACGCAGTTCTACGAAATGTTCGCAGCTCTCAAATGCAATTTTTTTAGCCAATCAGATGATTCGAGGGTGGCGTTGAGAACGGCCTTAATAACTTCTAGAAAATGCTGACAACTTTCTAGATAGTAATTCAACTAAAAACCAAGAAATTTGATATCAGATATCAGATATCGCAAATAATTAATACTGTAACTCATTGGGAGTTTTCAAGCAGCACTCTCGATGTGATTTGAAAGTGATCGAGATGTTGCTTAATCGTTACAATTAATTGAAATGATTATTGTGATTAATTGAAGTGTTTCTTTTAACGATATTGATGTGCTGAAAATTTATTGCGGATTTTAAATTTTGCATAGCGCAGCTCTATGAGAAAAAAAAAATTGGTCCAGGTTTTTTCGACTTAAATGACTAGCATGGTCAATTTTTTTTTAACTAATTCGGTAAACTCAGCGTTTGAGAACGGCTATTATATTTTAATATTAAAATTTAAGTTTTTTTTAAAAAAAATGTTTAAGAGGCAGTTCGGCTTTGAAAGGCAAATTTTATAGCAAAAAAAAAAAAAATCAACTTAATATAGTTTTTTTATAATGCAGGAATAGGGCTTGCTTATATTTAAAAGTATTTTTTTTACAAAGTAAACTTTCTTGTGTTTCTAAGTTGTAGAGATGATTATTCTCGTTCTAATGATTAAACAGATCCTGGAATATTAGTATATTATACTAATTTTTATTATAAAATTAATTACGAATTATCTCTTAATTACAGTATTTATAATAGTTTTTTTTTTTATAATATAAAAGTAGAAACTTTATTAATTGAAAATATACTATATTTTAGACACTCAATATAATATTATACCTTTTATTTTCTGAAAAAGCTAAACTAATTATTTCAAATTAAATTTAAACTAAGAATAGATTAAAAGAAACCTTAAGGTGTTAGTTTTAGCATTATTAAATACATGTAATAAGAGAATATCTATATAAAACTAATTTTTTATCAAATCAAAAATATTAAGTAAAGATTGTAGTTGAGTTGTTTGAGATAAAATAAAGTTGAAAAAGAGATTTTTTTCTTTTTAGTTTTTAGTATTATATTTCAAGCTATTTTTCATTAATGTTAATAAAAATTTTGAGTTTAGATAACTTGTTAAAACTAATCAAATAAAAAATATTTTTGTTTAATTATACAAAGTAGTTTTGAGATTATCAAAAGTAGTTAGTAAATAGTAACTAATAATAATATAAAAAAGAAATAAAGAAATATTATTTGATAGATATATTGGAGGTATTTATAAGTACAGATATTTGGTGATACTGTAACTGATCTTAATGTTACTTAAGATATAACTCAAAATGCTATAACTAATATTTGACTTAATTTTAAACATATACATATGTGTTGTAACATTTGGTATATAGTATAATATCTAATATATGCTATAAAATATATCATAATATTATAATAAAAATTTTTAAAAACTGTTTTATTTATTTTGAAAAATTAATATAAAACTATTATAATAATTTATTTATTTATTTTATTCGTAATTACAGTTGACTATAGATATAAAGAATTTTTTAATTTTAGAATTTGTTATATTACTATATTATATCAATATTTTATTAATTTTTAAATAAAAAATTCAATTTCATATTTATATTTTTAATTAATTGGAATCAGATATAAAACAAATAACTATTTACAAAACTTTGTCTTGAAATTGTTATTTTAATTAATTAGACTCAAAATAATATATTGTAATTCAAATTCTTAATTATAGCAAATGTTAGCTATTATAATCTAATTATTACTACACTTTTAACACAAATGTTAACTATTATAATCTATGTTATTATAACTCTTTTAACATAATGATATATTAATATGACATATCTATATATTGTCAAATATCTGCACTTATAAAGATATTAGAAGAATATTTAAATTTTGTTATATGAGTAATAGATTAAGTTTGAGATTTAAAAATATATTTTGAACAATATTTATTATATTTCTTTGTTATTATAAGAAATAAAAGAATAAGAAAAAAGATATAAAAAAATTTTTTTTCATTTAACTCTTTCCAATGATCCTTTTTCTCAAAATTCAAAAAAGTAAAAAAATAAAAATTTTATTATGGATAATGAAGAAGGTTCTTTTACAATACAATAGTTTTTACAAAGGTCAACTAGGCTTGCTACTAGAGACTCTTTTGTATATTTAATATATAAGCTAAAAGTGATATTATATAAGATAACTA